AATGGCGTCATGCAACTTGCATATACGAGACGAAGAACAATACTCTTCCTCTTGTATGTACAAGTTGCTCGACGCCATTCTGTTGCCTGCGTAAGTGGGAAAGTATCCTGTGAACAAGCTATCTTCTGGGGCATAGGACGAAGAGAAACGCCTAAGAAAGCGCGAGCGCAAAGGCTAGCAAGAACTGGGACCCACGCAATCCCTGACTTCTGGCATGCCCAGTCCTTTAGATTAAGAAAGAAAGCTCAAAAGAAGCAGTATTGTCCCGTATTCCCTGTTCCCTAGACGAAAGATAATAGATTGAAACATGGAGAGTTAGCAATAGTCTTAGAGACCGAGCAAGTCTTACTGTAGTAATGTTCCTTTCAAAAGAGAAAAAGCTCAAAATAAGCCGATTATGCTAGCAGGCCTAGGGCTACTTTTATTCACAATTCTAACAACAAACATGTTAGCACAATCGATAAGAACCTACTCTCCTCTGTTCGATGTAAACGAACGTTCCCTCCAGAGGAACTTTGGATTGCTTTCGTACACATTTACTCACCACTGCTAATATGTGTTTTATACTTGGCGAAATCTATAATATATAGATTTAGTCAGGGCTAAGAGCGAAGCTCTAGATAATGTTTATAGTTTGTTCAAACAAAATATAAACTCGCGTAATGCGTGCAGTAAACTTTTTTTGTACATTTCTTTGCCGTTGTTTTGCACGAGTACAACGCGAAACTTCCAGAAACTTCCTAGTTACACGTTTTATATATGGAGAAAAATTGAGTACGTGTTCTCATTCACTTTTTTTTTCACTGCCGCTCATTCAGTTTTACCTTGCATTGGTAGCCGCTAGCATTCATCATTTTCTCACCGCCGCTACAAAATTTTCATGTTGTTCTTCTAACAAAAAAGTCTCCTTTGTTTTTTTCTTACTCTAGATCTCTGTCGCCCTTTTTCTTGTTGAGATTCACTGGCCTTTCGCCTACTTTCTCTTTTTCTCTGTCTTTTTCTTGCTCTATATTCCAAATCACTTGCGGTCTAAGCTTATTATTTTAGACAACGCGGACACAGAAACAATTTTCGCTTTCCGTTTTCGTATTTATTGACTCTTTAGTTGTCTCTGCTTTACAAGACAGGGGTGGCTATGCGATTTTCCGCCAAAATAACCTCGAGTTGCATTTGGGTTGCCATACCTGTTGATTGAGCTATTTTACATTGGTATGCCTGTGGTGCGGACTTTCGGTCGGTCAGGCGTGCGGGCGTACGGTCACGTGATTATTACAATTTTTCGGATGGGTAGATAACCAAGTTTTTTTACCCGTGGTGCTCCGCGGCGGGCGCTTCGCGTGCGCGAGAACTGCGCTACTAACCGACTGAACTCGCATCTTAGTCCAGTCAAATTGTGGTTTAGTATCAAACTAATTGCAACATAATTTTTTTCAACGCCATTTAATTGTTGAATGGCTGTTTAACAACATACTAAAAATCGGCCAAAATCGGTTTGGTGAAACATGAGAAAAATTGGCAATAAAGATTTTCAACTCTCACCACAGGAAGCCCAATTTCGGGAAGATCACAAATTCTGACAAAACATCTGATAATTGTGTTTTATTTTCTCAAGAATTTTTGATACAACATCGCTAGTGTATTTTGGGTAGTTTTGATTTAAAAAGCGCCGGCTTAATGTGTGAGAAACACCAGGGTAAGTGTTTCGTCTTGACGGCTCTGCACAGGTAACCCAGCCACTTTTCCGTCTTCATATTCTGTTTTCCAAGCTTTAATTTTTTTTTTCTATGACGGTATTTAAAAGGGAAATTATTAGTCAGTCTGTGTTAACATGGTTAAAAACAATAATTGATTTTCATGCGCAATATCAGAAATGCAGTAAGTATTTTAGCAGTTTTACAGGCTGGTAATTTTTTATATGTGCAGCATGGATTCAAATTTAATAGCTGACTGATGGTGAACAGTTTGATTTGATATTTTGCTCACCTTCGGTCAACTACTAAATTTGCATCCATGCTGCAGGATAACGTGCGACTAAATGTGTGCAACGGACGATAGCTTAGTTTCAGTACAAACTGTTTCACGCCTATTCCCTTTTTCTGTACGTAATCGAGTTTTGTGAAGTAGTTATGTTCAAACGTTGGACACAATATGTGTGATCGAAAACAGGGATTCTTTTTTTTTCTCGCGACATGCGCAACTTCCTTTAGGATTATAACTCCGTGTGAGTGAATAAATATTCTGCTAAGGACTCCGTCTATTTAGTTTTTGCTAGATTTTAACGCTCAGTTTGCGCTTTTCATTACACCTCGCCAAATCTGTTGTAAGGGAAATCCAGAAAACCAAGCGCAGTGTGATTGTTCCAGTTTTATATTCTTCTTGTAGCGAGTCTCAGATTTAGTTTAGTGTATCTGTATGTTTAGTTTGCATTTTCTGCGACAGCCCTTCATTTCTTGGTAAGATGAATAAGTAGAGTAATCGCTTTGTTGTCTCGAGGCGTTTATATTCCCTCCTTGCATTTCTTATGTCAGAACAACCCTGAACCTTGACCAGTTTTTTTTTTCGTCCATTGGCAAATGAAGTCTGAAGACCTCTTTTTCTATAACGATCATGGGATCCTATACGTCCGAAAATATTTGCAGCGGTCAATGAAGGAGCGAAAGTACTGGACATATGTACGACATTAATGGGCTTGCCTGACTTAGCTTCTGATGGCTCACCTCTTTTTACGGAGCCTATGTTTCTCTTCGGATGAGCGTTGCGTAACACTTCAACTTACTACATGTAAACCTTTTCACTAAGTTGCGTAAATTCCCATTTCTCCATAGACCCTTGCATTATATTTTTACATACGCATTGTTTTGGCTACCCAGAGTTAATTTTTCCCCTAAAAACCTGCCTCCTTATTTTACTATTTCGCTTTCTTGAAACAAACGTTTGCTGGAACCAAAGTTCTTATGCGATGAATGTTCCGTTAACCTTTATAATTTTTTTGCGAAGATAACAACACTTTTCCTTAAATGAAAACGCATTCCTCTCCTATCAAATTCATAGGCATTGGAGCAATAGGCGAGTTTTTGAGACGTAACAACACGTAGCATTTCTTAATCATAGGAGGGGAGGAGAGGTTAAGTGAAAATAGTTGTCCTTTTGTTTTTTCAAGTTTTTGCACTTTGAACATATACGCTCCTTCAGTGTACGTTAACGAACATTAATGTATAGGTAGCCGTAAAAGCCAAAGCATTACCTTGCGAGATATTTCAAAACGTACCAAGCGTCTTAGTCTTTTGACAAGAAAAAGAGCAAAAGCAAAATGAGCCCGAAAATCCTCCTAGAAAAGAACAAGGAAAGGAAAAATAGAATGAGTTAGGAGAAAGAGAAAAAAAAATGGCTGCATTATTAGCTGTTATGTTGACTTCTTTGGAGATAGTTTTTGAAAGAGAAAACTGTTTGATGGGAGAGTTCTGTTTTGGCTGTAACCTTCTTAAAAATCCAACTAGAAATAGACCCGAAATATATTTTTCTTACTCTTGCAGCTAACAGAAATCTGATTTAAAGCTAATGATTAAGTAACGGCCTTCATTTTTCAGATTTAAAGCTTTACGACTAAATTGGTTGTAGTTTAACAGCCAACAGTTCACTCTCTTACTCTGTAACCCTCCTCTTATTTGGGGGTTCCTTGAGTGGAGAAAGGGTTTCCTGTGCAAAAGCCAACCGTCTTTAATATTTATCCTTTTTTTTAAAAAAAACACTTCGTTTTATCACCGAAAACTAGGTAGCAGTTATTCTTTCTTCTTTCACTTTTCCATAAAAGTAACACATTTTGTGCATTTTTTGTTTTAATGTATAATTTCAAATAACGTTGGTTCCCTGTGTTTAAAGCTTAAAATGTTCAACGCTTAATTTTGACATGTTCCACCGATCGGATTTTGGCGAATTTTTAGTATGTGGCTAGATAGGCCACCCTTACTTAAATGGCGTTGAAAACAATTCTGTTGCAATTAGTTTGATGTTGAGCCTCGAAAATGCCTAGATTGACTGGACTATGTAGGTCGAACGGATGCACCTTCGGCCCGCGTTGCCTGATAACAAACCCTAATACACCAAAACTAGCAAAGCAGAACATACAAAACGAGATATCATCTTTTACTTTTATTTCTAAGCTCAGATGACGATAAATAGTTTGAATTTTGGTTCTTTTAAACTCTAGATAACATGGAAAGATTTAGTTGTGTCAAAGATACTCAGTAAAATATTTCTATTTGTAATATTCTGAATCTACGTCTGAATCTCTATTATCTTTTCTTCTTTATTGTTTATAAGTATTATTCGTCTTGATATTCCACACAACAATGACACCTAATAGAGACTTAGTTCATTGACATTCTCTCTTGATTGTGATCAGTCTACTGTGCAACTCTAAAATACTTTGTCTAATTGCAAATGTATTCTAAACCAAGCTTAAACCAGCATAAAAACTGAGTTTATTTCATAACGACAATGCATCGCAAGAACTTCCATCTGAGCCAGCATCTGTAGAAAGAGATAATAGACAATAAAATTATTTGAAGAGCGCTTACAGTCAAGTACAAGTCCGGGCCGAACGGGATTACATTTTTTCACCTTACAGTACCATTTCAGAGACAAAACGAGAAAGCGTACAACCCCACTCACCCTCTCTTGATTGCTATTACTTTACTTCTAGCTCGAATTTTGTGATGCTAAAGTTGTCTTTGGAGGGCAGCTTGCCACATGATAACCGTACCTACCCTAAACCCCGACAGCGTTTGCCTAGTTGGAAATGACAGTCCCGTCTCCAGCAGGAGGCATGACAATGATGTCCTCAATTAGTACGTAGAGATAAATACATTGACACTTTATAATAAGAGGTTTTTTAAAGTCGGTTGTAAACGCGTTGCGAGAGGAAATCACTCGCCTCTAAAGTCATAGCTATAGGTGTCCTAAGAGCAGATAAAAGCCTTTAAAGTAACCATTGACTCACTTTATATCTTCAATACTGTGATCCTATGATTCTCTCTCTCAGCAATGGCTATTCTACCGTCAGGGAACTGAGCAAGACCATACGGAAACCAACACTCATTCAGGGTAGTGCCATATTTTCCGTGCTCCCTCATTGGCTCTCCATCCATGGAGAACACTCTGATTTTATGATTATCGTAGTCGGCCCCGTACACCTCCTTTTGATCAGCATCAAACAGCATATAACGCAAATTAGTGCCATTGGGACCAAATGTGGACAGAAAATTCCCCTCGGCGTCAAACACTTGAATCTTATTTAGAGCTGAATCTGTGACGTAGATTCTTCCTTTTTCATCGCAGCTCACATTACTGATGGTATGGAATTCCCCCTCATTTCGTCCAAACTTTCCGAACTTGCATACCCTCTTTCCATCAGCGCCGAAAACATGAACGCACAAACCGGAAATATCTCCAGCAATTATTCGGCCGTCGGGATCTGTCGTAATGCAAGTGAATCTGGAAGACATTTCGGCTGCATCATCTTCTGGCTGCCCAAAGATTTGCAGGAGCTGATTTCCTTCGTAGTCAAAGATTTGAATCCTACCCACGCCTCCATCAACTTTATCGGCGACCAAAATGCCGCCATCCTTGGTCAGGCAAAAATCTGCCATGCCATTGACCTTCCCCTCTCCTCTTTTCAGCAGGCATTTTAAGAATTTTCCTTTGGGATTAAACAACTGAATTCTCTGGATCGTGACAATGCCTCCTACGCCGATGACATCTTCCTCGAGCACCAAGAACTGGCCTTTCTTATCTATAGCCACTTTTTCGGGATAACTCATCTGCCCATCGGACATGCCATAATCACCAAAGCACCATATCTCCGGGGGTTTATATGGAGGCTTGTCATCGCAAACGGCCTCAGCTGGAATATCAAATTTGGGCCAGTCGCCGAGAACTTGACACAAACCCAAAATGTACCCCTTGGCTGCATCGTTAATGACTTTTACTTCTGTTAATAAGCTGGGGTTATTTTTTTCTTCCATTGCAGCATACACCCCATCAACGTCCTTCAATTTTGTCAGCAGAGAACGAAAGTACCTGGCCACAACCTGAGGCTCGTCAAAATGAATGAATGAAGCTTCCAGCAGAGCGATTTTACATGCCGTCACCCGATCATCAGTCGAATTGTCGGAATCTTTTAATACCATCTCCCCTGTCTGATGTTTTAGCCAAAACTTAACTTTACTGAAGGTTTCGTCATCGGGTTTGACGTATTTCAGCGAGATTAACCTGTCACGAATGTTGAGAGCTGCAGAACCGAGGAAGCTGCGAAAGGCTTTGTTTTCGATCTTGCGAATTTCCCCGAGAATCTGCTCTTTCAGCCACCTGTACGTAGAGTCATTGTCTTCGACAGTTTCTTTGACTGTGTCCCATTGCTCGCTAACTAAAAGTTGGAAAGCGAGCTTAAACCAACCTTTCAATGACCTCTCGGACATGTTGAGGTGCCTTAATCTACGAAACCAAAATAAACGGATGGTTTAAATGCTGTATTACTCAGTTTCCAAATATAATACCAATTTAGTTGACTACGTAGTCGACTATGAAATGCAAATCATTTTGTTCAGCTGGTCAAACACAAAATAGCGAACGAGCAGGCAGCTGGTTTAGTCGAATATTTAAAAACGATTATTTCATTTGCATAATGCATTTGGGCTGGGCTTACCTTATACAGAGGGCAGAGTTGAAAATAAAAATTTGTCTGGAAATTTTCGAAATGATAATTGTCAAACTTATTAGTTATATATGTATGCGGAACTCCTTTTGCTCTTTCTGTGAATTTGCATACAGTCTTTGGGGAAATGCCGGCCACCAAAACCTGCTCGCTTGTGGCAAAAAAGTAACAAAACCAAGTCATCACATCATTGTTTGGTCCTGGGTTAAGGTCACCTAGGGTTAGTAGAAAAATTAGAATTTCGATATAAAACTGGGCTTAAAGAGCAAATTCAGTTTAATTCTTTGCGTCTTTAATTTGATTGTTGGATACGCTAAAAAGAATAGAAAAAGTTATCCTAGGAAATGCTTTTATGAAAAAAAGGTAAGAAACCTCAGCTGATTAAAACCATTGTAGTTGAGCCCGGGTTAACGCTAATCGGCCTTCGAACAACTGGGCCCTGGCTGGTTACTCCCCGGATGGTGTTCCATATAATACCATCATTCTTTGTACAATTTCGAGTTTGCTGTACAAAGCTTTTTTCAACCTTATCGGGCTGGTTGAAAAAATACGGGTTTGAGAGAGTCTGCACATTTGTTGAGCAAAAATTTTAAGTAAAGATTTCGCTATTAAATATACCGCTGCTTTCGATTACCGAAATTCAACCTCGGTCCTAGTTTTCGTCTGTCCTTATGATCTGCACTGACCGAGTTAACGCCGTCACTTGATTTTTTAGCGGCCGGTGAAAAATCATAGACGTTATCTTAAGTCAACATCCACATCTGGCCTCAGGTAAAGCTTGATAATGCTATCCACTGGATAAATCACTATCCATGGATAAGTGTTGGGGACACCAATTGCGTTATCCACTGGATATAGAGAGATTTATATCCATCGGATAGCGCTTTCCATCTTTTGAACAACTGGGGCCTGAAGATACGGCCGTTTTTGCGATATAAAAGGGAGAGGTGGTAACAAAGGTAGACTGCAAAACAGTCAGCGTTTTTTCTCCCAATCAGTTTTTAAGGCGCGAAGCACTTTCCTTTGACCGTTCGCCCGCGCTTTTTTAACCTTGGCAAAAATACGGGTGGTTTTGCAGGCAATAACAGAGGTAAGAGCGGTGCACGGAGCTTCCGTTGTTTCACTGACCCCTTGGTACTTGGTCGAAGAGCTGTCGAATCTTGTTGCCATGTGAGTTGAAAGTTTTTGGTGATGGACACAAAATCTTATGGCAGAAAGAACACACCCGGCGGTGAAGTTACCGGATGTGATGTTGTGTAATTAAAGGAGCCAGAATGTGGAACGTACCGAGCTTTCTTGCACCCATATGACGTGCTTCCAAGCGCCTACTACGCAGGTTACCTTAGATGAGGAAGCCATCTGTAGTGATGTCCCATTTTTCAGTCTGTGGATAAGCTGACGATTGCGCTTAATACCGTCAATGCCAGCTTGTTTCTTTAAACGCTAAGGGTCGATTCTTTAAACCAAGCGTCGACAGAGTTTATGAAAGACAACGTCTAACCCATGAATACTGATTATTTAAACGTTATTCTTCCATAACCGTGTTTAAACCATGTCTAAACACCGACTAAGGAACAATAGTACGTTGGACCTGCTCACAGGTAGGTTTAAACATAGTCTCTCCAACGGAGTGTTGGAGAGACTATGGTTTAAACGTTGTTTAAGGGTTTTTTCATGGTCATCCGTTTTGAAATGACCTGAAATAGACGGACTACTGCGCAACAGACAGTTACTGGAGAGAAAAAGAGACTACGCCAATCGACGTTATATACATGTTCGAAAAATTCGGCTCCTAAGGGACAGATTTTCATACCCTTTAAAGGAATACGATGACGAAGATTTTCGTCAGCTGCTTTTTCGCCTCAGTGGAAAGGACACGGTCACTGACCTTTTAAAACTTTTCGATAAAGAACTGTCAACATCATACCGGGGGAGATCGACCGCCGCTTTCAAATATGCAGCAAGTTCTAATTGCTTTGAGATTTTATACAACAGAAACCTTCGAGCAGGTTATTGATGGCGATTTATTTGGTCTTTCTGTTTTTGCCGCATGCACAGTCATTCACAAAGTTTCAAGGGCTATCACGAAACGAAAAGAACGTTTTCTACGTATTTTCTGTCATTCCCTGAGAACTTGGCTAATACCAAGAGAAAGTTTTATACGAAAGTATAATGAGCTTATAATGCAATTAACAATTTTTGGGGCGTTCGAAAATTACTGTACTCCTTCAACATCATGAAGAGATTTTCCTCCACCACTTCTTCTTGATTCACGTCGTTGTAAATCGTGTTCTTTCTTGGATTTAACTTTGAGGCGCCGGCTCCAGCATTATTGTAGGGTTAGATCAGACATTATGCAAGCATAATTTTGGGCATAATGCTATAGTTGCCCAGAGCATTGAGCATAATGCCGGCATAATGGCCATTTTTCCACCATATAGAGAATAATAATGATAATAAAAATTAATATTTCCATAACTGTAATAAGAAATTTTCGCTTTTAAGTACTTTTAGTAAGGATTCAATATTTAAGGGTTGGTTTATACTTTCAAGGCATGTTTCAAGGTCTTAGGCTTGCCTAGCCTGAGATCATGCCATCTCCCTATTATCCAGTTGTCTGTCGTTCATTGCTGCCAGTTCAGCTAGGATCATTCTCTATTGTCCTGACTGTCGTCAGTTTCAAATAAGCAGGTATTTTTTTGGCTGCGGGAATGGAAAAGGGCATCTAATATAACCCAGATCAGTCTAGCATAATGCTACTTCTTGCCATACTTTTTGAGCATAATGTTAGGTATAATGCTCTTGTTTTGAGGGTGACGCTCAAAAGCATAATGCCCAAATTTTCGAGCATAATGTATCTAACCAACAACATAAGCTTTACAGTATTGCAAAAGCTCTATTTAGATAAAGTTACAATTTATACTAATGATAATACAATGAATTGATTACAATGGTCAATCAATTGTCATCAGTATGATTTGAAAACAAATTATTACGTAAATCATAAGATAATGAAACAAATGTGAATTTACAGAAAAATTCTGTGTATTCATCAGTTTAGTTATTAAATATGTGCAAGATAGCTGAAAATCGACAAAATTATGTTGGATTTGATTGTAGAATCTTTCCTTTGGGATTGAATACTTTGGACAATGCAACTGAGAAAACGAAATATGTCTTCAATTATACCAGAGTTACAAACAGGGCAGAATCTATCGTTGTGGGGAGTTTTATCATATTTTCCAGCTTCAATCATGAGTTTGTGGTTACTTATACGAAGTTTCACTAAGTCTTTCCTATTGGTTGAATTTCTAGTTAAGTCTAGATAACTTGAAATTTTAGAATCATGAATAAAATATGCTGTAAAATTGTAGTTTCTTAGAATGATGGATTGCATATTGCCAAAAATATGTTTGTTAGTATTTATATAGTGTTTGATCTTATAATTAGCTTCACTTAAATTATTAGGATCAAAATTGGGCAGGTCATAATATTCAGCTATTTTGATAAGATTATGGTAAAACCCTACATCGTTGGATCTGGTTGATGTTGTTTAAATCCGTTTGGATTTTGAGAGCTGAATTTTTTGCAACTTTTTAGTATTGTTGTATCTTTTATCCCTTACTTCCGGAAACTCAGTTACGTTTTAATAATGTATTTTAATCATAGTATAACAGCTGTTTATCGAGAAAACATCTAAACCGTAGCTTGGCCTTAAACACAGGTGAACTTGGACGTCGTTTAAATAACTGGCCCCTAAGTAATCTCCCATGCGAAAAGGGATGCACTATGTGCAATCAGTTATCCGGGGCGGCTGGTTTATTACTTTATTTACCTCAAGTTGGGATACTTTTGCTTTCTCAACTCCGAAAGTTGATTCTTTTGTTTTAATTACTCAGCACTTGGGTCGATCCTTGAACGAACCCAAACGACCCCTTAGACAGTCTGAACGATCTTAAGGTTAAAACCACTGGCGTAAATAAACTCTAGCAAATCAAATGTAAAATGAGATGGAAGTTGAAATGCATTAAGTTTGTTGGCCTTTCATTCAATTTAGGCGCCTGAAAATTATGCTACCCCGTTACATTTTGTTCAAAGGGTTGATGTCTCGAATACATGTTCGGCAAAACAGTGAAGTAAGTTGTATCTCCTGTTTTGCTGTCTAGGCTAAACTGAATTAGTTTCGTACTCTCGGTGCACCGATGTGCTATAAGGTAGCAACGTTTCCTTCACGATTTAAAACGCTTTCCACTTATTGTCACGTTTGAACAATAACAGTTCAGAAAGTGTCGCTTGTTTTGGCTATTCCTCTGGGGGATACATCTGATAAGATATGTTTGTAATTCATAACAAGAAGTTGAGTACTAAGTTTAAAAAACTACGATCATACAAAATCTGAGTTTAAAGACTTGTTGGTCACCTGATTTGTGCAGCATGAATGCATTGTATGAGAGTATATATTGATGATATGCGATATGATCATAGTCTATACATATATTTTTAAAATTGTGAAAAAATCTCTCATGTATTCAGTTTTTTGATAATCCATCCAAGGCTTGATTTGTAGCTATATTATTATCTTGTTCTTGGTCATCACCATTTGTCAACTCAAGGACAGTTGTTCGTTCCTAAAACGAAGTCTCGAGCATTCTGAAATGAAAACAGACATGCTGAGACAAAGATCAAGTCATGTAACCCTATGTAAGGCAATCTGGGTTCCGGAATCCACGAAATTTTTTTGTGAAATCCCCAATCCTCGGCTCT